TTAAATATTGAGTTGGGCCCGCGCTAATGGTAGTCAGCCCATTCTCAACACACACAACATAAATCAAAGATAGAAGGAGGAGTGAAGATTTGAAAATAGTCGATGGCGTGGTATGAAGATGAAGAGAGATGGAAAAATAGATCTAGGAATCAAAGCTAAAGGCTTGGGTGTTGCTGCTGACAGCCTCGAGATCTAGAAATCATTGATGGCATGGAGGGCATTCACAGCAATGAAGATGAGTGGTGGAGAGATCTGGGGAGAGGAGATGTTCATGAAGTTCACAACTTCAGACCTGATGGCGATGAGGTGTGTGATGGTGGAGAGAAACTCGTGAAAGAGAACACGAGTGATGGTGGATGTGAACCGGTGGAGGAAGTGAATAATGGTGGAGATGAGAAATTCCGGCAAGGTAGAGAAGGGGAGAGAGAAAGGGGGGGAAGACATTTTGGGGGTATCTTGTGTCTTTTCACATTAGATTGAGGGCAAAAAAGACTTTTAAAACCCTGCAATGGACGGTAATCTCATTCATAGGGGGGACCTATTAGTGGAGATTACCAAATAATTTTGAATCCGGATTACCATTGTAATGATCATTACCATGAAAAAGCCCAACCAAAAACACGCTATGGTAATGGCGTTTGGTTTAACGTTGTGAGGCGGCAATAGGGTTGAACAAATGGGCCCCAAGTCTTGAGATTCTAGTTCTTTTTCCATCAATCTTATCAAGTGTCTAGATGTGATTTCCATGGTAGACAACATTGAAAGCTTAAACATGTAAAACCTACAATCCCATATATGCTGGTAGTGTTGAGTGTTCTCCGGCCACCAATTGACCATTTATACTTCAGACAACTTGTGGGAGACAAGCCTTACTTTCACATATGCCCAATTATAATACACACGAAAATTTTGTTGCCAGCTCTCCCTCAAGTTACAAATCTTTGGATCTTGGACCATAAATGTCTGTAGGAGGGGAAATGAAAATAAAGGAAGAGACCGTGATAGAAGGGGTGAAGTGACCCTTGTGAAAAGGCGTGACAGAGAAGCGATACAATGATTCTGTTAGAGAGATATGGGGATGCAGAAAAAAAGTTAAGTCGGCTGGACTGAGGAGAGTCTCTAGCCTCTTGAAAGCTAGGGAACATTTTTTCCCTTTTCATTCTCTTCTACTTTCCCCTCTAATTCTCTTTTATTTTCTTTTTTCCTTCCAACAACTATTTTGCTCTTAGACATCATTATATCTTTGTCAATTTGTTTATTGCAGCGGTGGAGATTGCAGTGTCAAGTTCAAGAACCTTATGAATGAAATATCAAAATCGCCAACTCTTTTGGAGAAGTATTACTCAATCCGCAATGAGTGATGGATAGATGTGGACGGAATTTTCGGCTTTGTTCATGATAGAGTGATAAAAGATGAACTGCAGATCATCTCTGCAGGTAGCTGAATTTATCTTGATGGGAAAAGTGATATGCATTGATTTTAAATCCTTTGATGCATATCTTGTGTGTGTTAAAACTGGGTACTTGTGCCACAAGAGGATCCAGTTGATATGATCTTCTATGAGGATTTAACTAGTGGTAATTGCTTGTATAGGATGAAAGATTTTGCCCTTTTGTTGTATGCATCATATCAATTAGCTAAATTTATTTTGATGATTAATTCCGTCATCAACCAGGCTGAAAAACAAGCACAAGCGCCAAAAAAAAAAAATTATGGAATCATTGGAATATTTTTCTTTCTGGCTTGCATGATATGGCAGACGACTTGGAAATACTTGTGTGCTCCCCATAATACTAAATCTGGTTCTTTTTCAAATTTTATATTATTTCTGACGCTCTATGGGAATCTGGAAAAGAAAATACCAAAAGAAAGGAGAAGAAAACAGGGGAAAAAAAGAATACTGGTAGGGTCCTGTGGTCTGGCAGACGAAGCCCGTTCCAGGCTGCCATCCAACCTGTGGTGATTTCAGACCGGACTTCAGGTTAGTCATTAACCCGGTGGTGGTTTTGCCCTTGTACACCCCTTATTCTCTTCACAAGATCCAGCTCTCATAGATTAATACGCTTTTGGTGTATATTTCATTTGGATTAATAGATCCTGCGGTAGTACTGTTTTATTGTGCTTTTGTTTTAGGGAGAATTACACGGCAAGTTCTACTCCTAGGCTCATTGACAATTAAGTTTAAGAGAATGATAACATTATGTTCTTAAGCTTACTTGTCAATGGATTTATGAGTAATTAATTGTTTTGAATGGAACCTAGTATTCTTTGTTTTATGAATAGCGGAGTCACTGAGTGTCTTTTGATATATAGGCCATTCGTAGTCTCCACAGCATCCCAAAATTTCAACTTGGCAAATATTTTTCTGCCAGATCAGACCATATCCGGCTTACGGACCTCTGCACAAAATTTTTTAGGGTTTAAGGGTCAATTTTACCTCTTAATTTTACCTGAAGGTTACTAGGCATCCTAAATTTAATTATAGGTTAATTTTATCCTTCAATGTTAAATATTCTTTCCTTGGTTACTTGTTGACTTGATATCTGTTCATTGTTAGTAGGCCTCATAATATATTTGTTAAATATTTTATTATAAAATATTTGAGTTTGAGTGCCATTAATCTTTTGGGGTTAAAGTTAAGGAATAAAAATTATTCTTAACTTAATATTTTATAATAAAAATTAAAGTTGCGATGTGAGGTTTATTAATGATGAAGAAAATGGCTAGATGACGAAAGAGGAAATTTTCAATAGAGATATAATTAATTTTTAGTTGAGTTTCGGATGCTTATTAACTTTTGGATAATGTTCAAAAATAAAATGACCTTTAATTTTATTTTATACTATCACATTGATATTAGATATGGCACTATAAAGTGAAAAATAGGATAATCTTAAAATTTTAGTATATATGTACTTTATGTAATAGTACATTCAAATGAGATTAAGAGAAAAAAGAGTTCAATTATAGGACATGGGCCACATTTATATTAATGCATCGTTTTTCTTCCAACATCATGATTGAAGGAGTGTATGGATGGTCCAATAAGGATTTTTAATGATTCATTTAATCGTCTTAGTTTTACAAATATATAATGGTTTCATATTAAATGTTTTATAACTGTCTAATATAAGATTAAAATAACCATTCAGTATGAGTTTTTTTTTTTTTTTGTAGTGGTGGTAGAAGATTTATTTTTGTGTTTATTGACACGGTCTATTTACAATTTGTGAAATGTATTATATTAATCATTTTTGTGCAAAAATAATGGATACCCTGTAATCTTTTTAGCTTACAATATCAATGTAAAATGTGAAAGATCCAATAATCTATGCTTATTTATAAACTGTAAATAATTTAACTTATTTTTAAAACTTAATGCATTAATGTATGAGAGACCCACATAATATTATAACATGAATTTTTTATAAAAAAACCTGTATCAAAAATAAAATCGGGAATGAACAGCTCATTTATTGGAGACTTTTCATAAATCGTGATATTTCATTAAAATAAAAGGAAGCACGTTTTAGCCCACATTCATACCAAAAAGGGAAGCACGTTTAGCATTCCGTGTGGGCTTGGACGGAGAGCATATAGAGACAACTTCTTGGTGAGCGACTGAAAGAAGAATTCGGCCTTAAAGAGGTGGTGGGGCCCATCCATCTAAAAAAAGCAGCGACTAAAATGTTGTGCGGTATAAATCAATCAATTAGAGAAAATGGCAAATATGGACCATATAAGTATGCTAATAGCAATGAGGACCATGATTTTTAAATTTTAGGAAAGAACCAAGGTCTTTTTGGAAAGTTGGGAGGACAAAAATGCTCATTTTAAAGCTCTGCTTTTGACAACTAACCAACTATTGTAGTCAAGATTTGAGCCTTGTCTTTATCTCCTTGATTTTTAATAGCTTCATAAATAAATTTGATAGAGAAATTATTATTTGAGAAAAGTCTCCAATAGAGAGAATAATCATCACCATGAAGATTGAGAAAATTGGACAATGGATATTAGTTTGACCACATCAGCATGTAAATAATTGCTTATTTGGTCTATCTTTTGTCTGCCAATAATAGAGATCAAAAGTTTGAGATTGTAGCATGCAAAATATCCTTAGCATTAGGATATGCAAACTTGACAAGAGGTAGAAGTAGAGGTGACATTCTTTCATACTAGAAAGATATTTGATCCTTTTTACCAACTTTTTAACCTACATGTGTCATAAAGTTGTCCTAGACTTTACAAATACTAACATAAATATAAAAAGATGAACTTGGTTTGTAAATCACTAGAATAGTCAACCTATCATATTTGTATTTATCATGTAGGAGCTAAACTCAGACTTTTAGGTTTTGTGACAATGCCTTTATAGAGTTCATAAGCAAGCAATATTTTGATTTTTAAGATTCTTGAAGTCAAGACTATCATAACTATATGCTGAACCCCAAAACAAGTGTCTATAGCTTTTATCCAATTTAGCAGGCACATTGTCATGTAGAAGCATAGTTTATATGATGTAACTAAGAGTAAAAAAAACACATTTGCCAATAATATATTTTTTATAATATTTTGAGGCAGCAACTTCCTGCTTGACAGACATGAGTTCATTTTTTTCTAGCAAAATAGTGAAAGTTAATTTGAAGGCCCTTTCATGTAGGAGCCTGAGATATTTGCTAAGATTTTCAATGATGGGAATTCCTAATTTGCAAGGCTCTATTAAGATGGTTGTCATGACAATCTTTTCAAGTTCTATGCGTAAGAGTGAATTCTTTTTAAAAATGTTCGTCTCAACAAACTTTTATATGTATTGAGATAGTTATTGTAATAATCTTCCGTAAGTGATAATTTAGAGGTCATCATCAATGAAATCCTTTGAGAATTTGTCAAAAGCCTTTTCAATATTCACTTTGAAAGCTTTGAAGTCTTTCTTCCCATTTTGATCCACCCAACTTCTTAAAAATTCATTCAAAGACTTTGGTCCTTTTTTAATATTTCAAAAATTCATGGTCTTTAATCATAATAAATGCCTTATGTGATCTTTCATTGTCGTTTTCCTAACCAACTGCCTACCACTCCACATGGATGTGCTTGATGCATGTGCTATTGCTAACATCATCAATACTTATCTATTTCCGCATGGGTTTGTATGTTTTCTCCATCTCCCTCGGACCCAAATCTTTCCAGATTTTTCATTTCGCTTCCAACCCTCTCATCTAGCAAATTGCAAGTTCTTTCTTTTTCTTTTTCTTTTTTCCCTCCCAAAAGTAATTTATGTTACATTTACTTTTTAGAAAATTGCTTAAATCATATTTACTTTATTATATATAATTTGGGTAATTAAGTAATTTATATCCATATATAATATTAAAACTCTAACAAATCTTACTTTTAAAATTAAGGCAAAAATATTGTGATTTATTATCTAAACTTAGTGCGACGGACATGACTTATATTAATTTAAAATTAAAATTAGAAAGAATATTGAAGATTGAAGAATATAGTAAAATAACATTATAATAGTGTTTATAAGTAGTGATGTTTGATGTAGCCAAAACATGCTCACGATCTTTCTTATATACTCTCTCCATTTAAAAATATAAGGTATTTTTAATTGAAACTTACTCCCAATAAAGTAGTTAATTACTTTTCAACGAACCTTATTTTTTCATATTTATCCCTATTAAATACCCTATAATAAATATAAAGTCATTATCAATAGGACACTTAAAAAAAATAATTACACCTTAAAAGATTAAAAATATGTTACATTTTTGAACATTTAACTTTTGAAAAAATGTCTTATATTTTTTAACGGAGGGAATATATAATAGATAGATAGTAAAAAAAAATAAAAAAATCTTATACATGGACATATAGATAGAGTACATTAAGAATAGTAGTACTAAATGTAATACATAAATAGGAAAAAACTATAGTATTTTTGTTCACAAACAGGCAGGTATACTGAATCTCAAGCCAAGTGCATTAATTGTAAACAACTTCAATAACTAAGTTATACTTAGAGAAAATGTGTATAACTATACGTTAGTACTTTTCTTTCTTTCTTTCTTAACCATTTTTTAAAACTTATTATGCCTAGCTATAAACCTTTCACCCAATCTTGTATAACAACAACAAGTATTTTAAATATATTACACATCACACAATGATAAAAAAATATTTTATTAGCTTATATTATAGATACTCCTTCAATCCTATATATAAGTAACATTTCATGAGGAATTAATTTATGATTTTATTATAAATTACTTACAAAAAAAGTGAATTATTAATTATTTTCTCCCAATTTTAATTTTTTTAACAATTTTCAGTAAGTAGAAAAGAAAAGGTTACTTGAGAGAAAAATATTTTTTTAAAGATGATGCATTTAATATGGGTAAATTGATTTTTTTTAAGACAAGTTTAATAATTTAACTATCTTTTATTAATTTTAATTATATAGTTAAAATAACTTATAAATAGGATAAAAAAATTTTGGCCCATAACAAATAAGAGATTGGATAAAAGTTTCTGGACTTGGCATTTAACCAAACAATTTATTTATTTTGCTCCCCCCGCTAATAATTATCTAGCTGGTGATCGTTAAAAATAGTACCAGCAAGCAAATATTGGCAACACGTTTTCTTTGGCCATTTCATGTTAGTCGTTTATAATTACATACTATCTCTAGATCACAAAATATCTCTAACTACTTTATTAGAATTAAGAAGATAGGGTTACATCATTAACTTTATCTGAAAAATAATAAATTTTTAATTTTATTCATATTTAAATGAAAGAATTTTAA